CAAAATATAAAATATTAAAAAAATAACGCCTCTCACTTTTTTGTATGGCTCGTTATCGTTAAAAATAGCTGAATATATAAATATTAATTATCAATTTACATATTTTATCAATTTACACTTCTGGCTGTTGGAGAGGGTCCCACCTGATCAGCTAAATTTTCACTAGTCAAGCGCACTAGTGATTTCGTAAGTAAAATTGTAACAAATTCAAAATTTACACCTTCTATGTGATTACACATGCTTTGAAGAACTTGGGTAAAGTCATTATACAATAATTTTAAGAGAACTCTCTTTTTTTCTCTATCAATAGAAACTCTTTGTTTTAAGATTAATAATACAGTGTAAATATATATGTAACAAGATTTATATAGACTGTTTTTAAAATAACTCTTACCAAATTATTAAAAATAATTTAAATAGATATACAGAATTTGATTTCCTAATTAAATTCTTATAAAATCTATTGCATATCTTAAAATATGAATACATACAATCATATTTTTATGTTTGTACAGTACTTTTAAAATTTTTTAAATTTTTAAGGTATTATATAGAAAAAAATTTAATCAATAATATTTAAACATATGTTTAAATAATAAATTTATTTAATAATAAATTATTTTATTTATTATATTTGAATAAGTTAAAAAATATTAAGTTTATAAATAAAAAAACATAATAAAAATTAAATGAATTAAAATTTAAAAATAAAATAATAATATTACATTAATATATTTTTATATTCTTAATAATATTATTATTATTTAATTATTATATTAATATATTATATTATAATTTTTTATTTATAATAAATATAAATTATTTTAAAAAAATTATATTCTATTTAAAACTAAAAATTTATAAAAAAAATTAATATATAATATATATATATTACAAATATATATAAATAATATATATATAATAAGATCATGTAAAAAATAATATAAATAATATAATTTTAAATAAATTATACCTAATAATATGTATTTTTTATAACTTGTCACATTTTTTTTAATTGATAAATTTTTTTTAATGCGTTAATCATAACAAAATTTTAGGTATCACAACACCCAACTATTTTTATTCTTATCATTATAAATAAGTAATTCTGTTATCTTAATTTCATGACACGCTCTAAATTTATTACCAAACTTATTTGTCAACGTAAAAAGTAGTAAATTGGTTAGCAGGCGTGAAGTGTTTCTTGACTTCTCTATTGAATCTCATAATTGAGTTACTTTAGCCTCTCGTTTCACATTAAATTCTAAAATTTAGAATTTATCTAAAAAATTACCATTAATAATATTATTTATTGATGACAATTACATCTATTGCCATCACCTTCGGCAAGCGGAGCCTCTAGCTAATTGTAAAGTAAGCAGTAACTATCTATCTTTCTTCCTTGAGACATGAATTTTTGCCATTTATAATTAAATAATTTTTTTGTTAGAAAATAGAAGATCATAAGTTATGACTTATGAAAAAAAATATATGACATGACATGCAAGAAGAATAAAGATATGATGTCCCACCTTTCGACTACACAACAAGAAGAAGGTTAAGTTGTTTGAAATTTATAATTATTTTCATACTTAGTGTACAATTGTTTGATATTCCTTTTTGAGATTGATTTTATGTGTGATGATGCTTCTATGATAATTGTTTGTTGAATTTAGTATAAATAATTGATTGCCTAAAATAGTTGAGGAATGAACTATCATTCATGTGGAGTGAGCATACAGAAGGTATGTTGAAAGTTGAAAAGAATTGGAGAATTGTGAAATAAAGATGTAAAAAAAAAATGAGAAAAATTTGAGATAAAATTGGATGGGTTTTGAAAAAGTGTTTTAAAAATTGATAAATGGAATTGTGGTTAATTTTCTTCTTAAGAAAATAATTTTTTAAAAAAACCTTCTTTAATTTCAAGTGGTTTGATCAAAATTTATTTAATAATTTTTATATATTTAAAGTATACCTATATACATATTTAAAGTATTTTAATTCATTTTAAAGTATTATTTTAAATGAGTATTTTGAAATATGGTGATAATTGGAAAAAGGTATTTGAGAGCCATTGAAATAGTTGAAAAGTTTTAAAATGTGGTGGTGGTGAGTCTCTGCTTAAAATTAGAAGTGTATTAAAATTTTCTGGCTGTTTTGCAGAGAGAAGAAAATTTAAAAATATCTGAATTATAGAGGAAACTTTGCCGGATTATCGGTGGAATTTTGAAACATATGTTGTTGATTAAAAAGAAATGTTTAATACCTAATTAAAAGACTGAAATTAGGTTCATGCATCATAAGCATGTAATGATAATGGTGTTGGATGGGAAGTATACGAAATCTAGGGGAGACTCTAGGTTAGTCTTGGGGATAGTCGGGTGTGATTGAGCCGGGCAAAGGCCAGGGTTCGCAACCCTGTGCTGTCGGTTCTCACTGCAAAACTGAACTATCCTGACAGAATCCGATGGATTATCAGAATCAATTGAGCTATATCTTTGAAACTATCTAATGAGATGGTTATGACCAAGAATTGTTGGTGGCAGTGAATTCCTGATCCTTCCCAGAAAGAAAGAAAGAGAAAAAGAAAAGAAAAATGATTTTGGCCCACATGCATGTGTCAGTATAGCAATTAACTAGGTGATGCACAGAATCATACATGGCATGTACATTGTGTGTTGAGTTGTTTCTATTTGCTATAATGATTGTAAATATCTTGACGCGTTTCTACTGTACTTTGGTTGAAATAGGTTTGTCTCACCCTTTTAGTTGTTGTATGTGTTGTATGTGAATATGTTTAGTAGGTGAGGACACAAATGGCCCGACCACCGTACCAGTTCAACATCAAGGTCAGATATGATCCTGAAAGAAGATGGGCGCATGATTGAGAGCGACAACAGTTCACCCATACTGGCACTATTACCTTTTTGTTAGATAAAAACGGGTCAGGCCAACGGGCATACCCCATCCCTATCAGGGTACCCATGAGACTCACTTTTCTATTTCCTCCTGGAGTACAGTTTAGGAGACCCTATGTCCCACCTCCTGTCCCTGTATTATCGCCCCCAATATTACTCCCGAATTTCTTTAGATCTTTAGGGCCTTATGTACCACCTGTTGTACGACCCAATATAGCAAACATACCTCTACTCAGACACATATCTATCTCATCCACTTCAAATTCAACTTCATCTAGTTCTTCTGACTCTCCGGATTTCTCTCACTGTTCAAACACCCCTACTGCTACTGGAAAAAAGAGAACTTCTTCTCAGGCCGAACTTTCTCCTGGTTTTGATTCCTCTGAGCAGGAACCTAGTGGGAAAGGAGAGTAGGTTAGGGCCGAGTAAAGTATAACTTGTACATATATATAGGTATAATCACTAGTGACTGAGGGAACGGGTAAATAGAAATCCTTAACCATTGTTAACTTTTGGAGGAAATGATATTTTTGATGATCATAGGTCTAGGGGAAAAACTTGTGAGGTCATTTTTTTGGTTGTTGTCTCCGATATCGTGACCCCACTTTATTTTGTATGTAATTTAGCTATGTACAATGTTTATATGACTGGATGACTGTATATTTTAACAAATGACATGTATATATGTATTTGGAGAACTGGTGCTAGTGTATTTAGTTTCCATTAATGTGAACAGACGTAAACTTATACATGTCGCTTTCTTACTGCTTAAATTATTTTAATATTATATTGATATTGATGGCGTAACAAGTAGTAAGGATGTCACATGGCTTTTTAGCCCTAACCCACTAAGGCTAGGGCTGGGCCAATTGAACTTTTTGACAGCTTTATTTTTTACAATAAATTGGTGGAGCAAACCTTAACGAGTCGTAGAATCAACTTTGACATAGAAATTATAGACACATAGATTAATATGATGGGATATTTAATAATGAAATAATGGAATGAAAAAGAGATAAGTTCAGTTATATTGGAATGAGATACAATGAAAAAAAAATTATCATGCCATGATTAAGAATTTTGTGATAAAATGAAAGATAGTTTTTGTTGCATTATTTGAAAAATTAACTAAATAATAAGAAAATTAGTAAAAAATAAGTTGGTTTCGATTTCATACCTCAATGAAAAGCAGTTCAATAAACAATAAGTGCGTTACCTGCTCTACAATCCCATTGGTTAATTATGCATGTAAGTATGATGATATTGGGTTATGCAACTCTTTTATGTAGATCATTATTATCAGTAACTATTTTAGTCATTTCATTTTGAAAACTCATATAAATTATTGCTAAATTTTTTACCTATTTATTTGAATTATTTTTAAGAAAATTTATTTTTAAATATAGATATGTTTAAAAATACTAGTTTCTGGAAAAATACTTAGAATTTTTTATAAAATATTTTAGAAATTTTCTTATAAGTTAAAAATACTAGTTTCTAAAAAAAATACTTAGAATCTTTCATAAAATATTTTAGAAATTTTCTTATAAGTTAAAAATACTAGTTTCTGAAAAAAGCTCTAAAAAAGCAAAATCACAAGTTTACTTTTTCTATCAAATAAATGGACCCTAATTATTATTTAATTTCAACCACCTTATTTTTAATATAGTTCAAATAATGACAAATAGTGTTACTTATCCTATCTTTTTCTATTATATCTCTTTCTATTGATCCAAACACAGCTTGGATAAAGTGAAAAGGAAGTCCCAAAAATTCTTCACTTTTCTTAAAGAGTTCATCACTTGGAAAATCTAAATAAATACGGATCATTTTCTAAAATAAACTATGAATGGAAGAAACTCCACATGTCGACACAATTATTCCACGCTTTCAAAAGCATAACTTTTGGAACTAAAACGTGATTAAGCCTTTATTTTAACTGATAGAAAACATTTCATCAGCTGTTACTTGAAAAATTTAGATTGTGGAATCAAAGTTGAAGATAATGAAATTTAAATAACAACCTAATATAAATAGTATTAAATAATATAGCTTTTTATAGCTATGTTACATATCTTCCACTTAATCTAACTCATCACTAGATTCAACCTCCTCCTCTGACAGTTCAAATTCATCAATCATTTTAAAGTAGGATTTCTGTTTTTCAATAAAATCTTGCAGCAACTCATCACTAGATTCAACCTCCTCCTCATCACCAGATTCAACCTCCTCCTCCTCATCACTAGATTCAACCCCCAGCTCCATTAACATTTCAAAATCAATCTGATTTTCAATAAAATCTTGCAGCTGGGGATCCTTGAACACATCTTCAGATGACAATGACATAATACGTTGTTTCTGAAAATTCAACAAATATGCATCAGACAATAGCAAAATATATATTTTAACATGATTGAACATGTAACTGAGATACAAGAAGTATACCAAGTGTATTGACCGTAAACAATATTATTTACACAGAAAATTTCATAAAAGATCAAGTTCTAATTAAATAACCGATTCACTGAATTCAGTATCCATAAATTCCAAGGAGTTTGATGTTCCTAATAAAACCACAGAAACTTGGGAACATAATAGTAAATTAATATACCTTCGCACAAGAAACTGTCAATGCCTTGGCCTTGGGTAAGTTCTCACGTTCAAATGCATCACTTGTCTCCCTGTTTATCACCACAAAAACATAGGCCACTGTTACATGATGGACCATCTAGAAAAGAGACAAAAGAGAGCAACAATAAAACTCCGTTCCAAAACAACACAATCTGCCACTGTATACTTGCTAATTACCTATTATTAGAGATATTTAAAATGGGTGAGCTACTAACAGGAACAGCCACTTCCTTCCCTTTATCCTTCCTTCTTTTCTTCGAACCTGAATTAGGCGGAGAAGCTTTAACATCAACAATCCCTGAAATAAAAAAACGAGGGAATAACATAGTAAGTAATTAACAAGCTATGACTTTGTTACAGATAAATAAATAAATACTGATAATTACATAGTAAGTAATTATATAGCATTGGTAAGCTCGAATGAAACATTGTTTGCATTGCAAATGAAAATGGTATCCTCATTTTTAAAATGAAGAAAATTCCGAACTCGAAGAATAGAAACCCTTTCTACAAATTGAACGAGGAATAATTAAAGTACCGAAGGGAGGGGATGTTTTGACCGAAGGCGTGGAAAGATTGGGCGGTGAAGGGGAACTAGGGTTTGGGGCATTACCGAGATTCGCCGTAGCAGATGTGCATTTAGTGAGAGGTTTATTGATTGCCGAAGAAGAAGAAGAAGGTTTGGATTTGGAAGTTTTGAGAGGAACAGAGGAGGGAGAAGAATGAGGGTTGGTGCAATCGGAGAGAGGCTTTCTGCGTGTGAACACTCGTCTTCGGTTAGCTTGCATTGCTGGTTATGTATGGATTATCAGTGCATTGAAGTTGAATGCGTTGGTGATTGTAAAGAAGAGTGTGTGGAACAGGAACTTCAACAGTAAGATGGATGATGGAGAAGCTTATTCTTGTTCTGTGTTTTGCTCAAATAGCGGGAAAGTGTGGATTTGATTAGGGTTATATCTATAGGCCCACATTCGTTTATGGGCCTCGCCAATTCATCAATTGGGCTTCAGCTTACTCTTCTTCAGTGAGTCAAGCCTTCAAGGGGTTCAAACCGCACAAGAGGTTTTATAAAATGGAATTAAAAATTGTCAAAACTTATAAGTATTGAATCTCATGCTCTTTTTGCCTTGACATTGTTGCATTATACTAAACACCCCATTCTCAACATATACAAATCATTCTATATATATCATTGTTTTTATTATGTTTATGATTACTCTGCCATCAGCAAATAATCACAGCTTCACAATTACTAGAATTACCACTTTGCTTCACTCATTTGTCAAAATTGTGGTGCTTCTTTCTTTTAGATTTTTGTCCTCTTGAGATGACTTGCTTATTACTTTGTACAAGTAAACTTTATAATTATTTTTATTAATTTTTTGAGAGTTTTTTTTAAAAAAATTATTTTTTAAAAGGGATCTCTTTCTAAACACATCAATCATGCCTTTATTTATTTTAAACAGTCGTTAAAATTCATAATGCACAATTCACGCGAATAAAGCAATTGGGTCATCATGTTTAAAAACATGTACTCTACCACAAAACCAGTGTAAGTCTCCTGTTTAACACTTCCCGTTAGGGATGAAAACAGGTTAGGCCGCCTGATAAGGGCATGTGGCTGACCTGACAAAGGCTTGTGACTGACCTGACATTTTTAATAAACAAATAAGGCTTAGACTTTTTTTAAAATCTATTTAAGTAAATAAGTCATACATAAGTTGTTTATAAAGCCTTTAAACCTGACAGGCCGGCCTGTATAATATATATATATATATATATATATATATATATATATATTATAATTTAAAAATAGAGTTGTCAAAATATATTTAAATAATAAAGTTATTTAATAATATATTTTTTATATTCTTAATTCTGTTGTTATTAAATTAATATATTATGTTATAATTCTTTTTATTTATAATTATAATAAACAGAAATTATATTCTATTCAAAATTAAATATATTTATATACGATTACACTTTTTAAATAATAAATTTATTTAATAATAAATTATTATATTTGTTATATTTAAACAAGTTAAAGAATACTTAAGTCTTTAAACAGGAATAAGACGCAATCAAAACTAAATGAAATAAAATTTAAAAATAAAATAATAAAATTATATTAATATTTTTTATACTCTTAATTTTATTATTATTAATTTAATTATTTAATTATTATATTAATATATTATATTTATTTCTTTTTCTTTATAATAAATAGAAATTATTTAAATATAAATTATATTTTATTCAAAACTAAAATTTTATAAAAAATGATATAAAAATAAAATAAAAAATTTATTAATTTTAAATAAATTATGTATAATAATATAAACTTTTTATAACTTACTATGTGTTTTACCTTTATTGGTATAAATTTTTTTTAACTAAAGTACCTATAAAAAAAATTTAGATATGAAGTCCATAACACATTGCCACACATTTAAATATAAATATGTCAAATTTTAATTATTTTACATTATATTCAAAATTAAAAATATTTATACACAATTACACATGTTTAAAAAATAAATTTATTTAATCATAAATTATTATATTTGTTACATTTAAACAAGCTGAAAAATCTCTAAATCTTTGAACAGGAATACGACACAATCAAAACTAAACGAATTAAAATTTAAAAATAAAATATTAATATTCCATTAATAAACTTTTTATATTTTTAATTTTATTATTATTAATATTCAAGTATTATATTAATATATTATGTTATAATTTTTTTATTTATAATAAATAGAAATTATTTAAATATGAATTATATTTTATTCGAAAGTAAAAATTTATAAAAAATGATAAGAAAATAAAATAAAAAACTTATTATAATGTGCATATATATATATATATATATATATATAATCAGACGATGTAATTAATAATATAAAAAATATAATTATAAATAAATTATATAATAATATATATTTTTGTAACTTGCACGTGGTTTAATTAAATTATTAGTTAATTTATCAATTTATATATAATATATAAGTATGTGTTTTAATTTATTGTATCAGTAATATTTTTATATTAATAGTGTAGTTAGTTTTATGTGTATTTGTTAATTTACAATAACAAATTAATGACACAAATAAAATTAAATATTTTGTAATTATTTTTTTAGTTTAATATTTATTATTATTGTCATTATATATATATATATATATATTGCATTAAGTTTAAATTTATTTATTTTTTTAAAACATAATAATTTTCTTTTAATTATTTCAACAAATTGTGTGAATGTTATTTTTTATGATCAATTTTATGTGTTTATTGTAACTTTATTTGTTGAATATAAAATATCTTTAAACAAACAAAATATGTTTCTAAAATAAAACTAAATTCTTTAATATTTATATAATTTTTAAAAATTAAATAAATAATATATAAATATATAATTTATTAATATAAAATATTTATAATTAATGCTTAAATAATATTTTAAAAATTATTTATAAAATTATATAAATATTATTATAATTATTTAATAATTATTAATAACATAGATGAAAATTAGAAAAATATAATAAAATATTTATATTTTTATTAATATTAAAATATTTTTTTTGTAGCAGGCTTCATTAAGAGGCTTCAAGTCAGGACAGACCACTTAAATAGGTTATGTCGGACCTAAAATAAAGCTTTTAACAGGTAAGAGTTCAAGGTTAAGCCTAATAATTATATTACAGGTCAGACCTGTTTAGAGTAAAGCTTGGACTGGCCTGATCTATTTCTATCCCTATTTTAATATATTATTATACAAATTTTATTGAAATTAAGTTTTACCAGCCAACCAAGTTACAGTATATTATTCGTTGATTTATTTATTGTTATATCTAATGGTTTAAAATTAATGACTTATGATGGACCACTTTTGAAGTTGTCCATGTTATACGCACCCAATAACGGTAAAGTTACAATTATTGTTCGTTTCCGTAGATAATAAGATATATTATTATTAGTCAAATTAATGGTTTATAACATTGTCATTTTTTTTAATCGTGATACCAATATTGTCATTAAGAAAGAAGATAATACAATTGACTATCGTTAAATAAGGATTTGTCTAGACTTTCACCCGAATCCAAAATGACGTTGAAAACTTAAACCCGGATTAATTAACTAAAACGTTTGGACTGTGAACTAATTGAAATAATATTTGTAATTGAATATTGTTCAGTTCAACAAAAGGTTAATTAAAAGTTCAAAATACAAATTCAATTAATGAATCTATGATTTGAGTTTTCACTTGTCTAACCATCCATCTATTATTTAAATACCAATCTATTTGCTTTTTAAAATGTGTATCCCCGTAACTTTGATAAGGATGCGAATGATGAGTCGGACAAATTACATCCCTTAAGCGAAAAAAAAAAAACTAACAATCTATCATTTTCTATTCTTATTTAATCTGTAACAAGTAACGAAAAAAACATATTTTGTGACAATAAAAAATTACAACAATTGACAAATAAGACCGATTGGGAAAATAATTTTTTTTTAAGTTATAAAGTCTTCTCCTACACTTTCGTAGTAGAAAATAAATTACATTTTTTTTAAAATATACCTTAAAATTAAGTGGCATGGACATAGTCTTTTACTAAAAAATCAAAAAAATCATAGATTCTTTCACCATGGTAAAAATCTAAGTCCAAAATTTGTTGAAGAAACTATTTTTCGACTCATTTCTATGAAGACTGACAAAAGAGTCATATTCTTTGTTAAAAACTATATTTCAAGACGTTTTGAGGGTTATAAGGGCTTTATTCTTTGTCAAACATAAGGCTACATTCTGTGAAGATTTAGAGAATCACATAACTTCTTTAAAAATATCATATTTCGAGCAGTTTTAATAGGACATGAAGAGGCCCATTTTTTGTTGAAAAAAGGGGTGGCCTTTCTAGGATTTTCAGAGGATTTTCTAGTCCTTGAATTGAAAATAACCAAAATTGGTTAAAAAATAGAACTGACAAGAAAATCATTCTAAGTGCACAAGATTGAAAAGCTCTTAGTTTTCTCCTAGAATTGGTCGAAAAGTAAAAAATGATGGTGAAATTATGCTAAATCCAAAGCCTGAAGAGGTCTTAGATTTCTCGCAAAATTAGTTGAAAAGGAAAAATTGAAGGTGAAATTATTTTAAGTCCACAAGATTATGTGCTTTTAAATTTCTCTTAGAATTGCTTAAAAAATAAGATTTGACAGAGAAATTATTCTAAGTTTATAAGGCTAACTGAGCTCTCAGACTTCCTCCGAACTGGTCAAAAAGTAAAAACTGAGAGAAAAATTATTCTAAGCGTATGAGAGTTTCTGACAAATTTCCCTCAATTGTCAAAATATATTAAGAAATTTACTCTAAGGGCAAGGTTCAAGATGAAGTTCAAAAAGGCAGAAAACATGATGAAAAATTACAAGGCTCAAATAAAAGATAAAAAAGAAAAAGATTATAGACAGAAGACTTAAAATTCAGTCATCAGATTGCTCTTGAATTTATTTATTTACAATATGCAATTTTCACCGTAAATAAAGATTAAATAAAAATAAAACAAAATAAATAAATATAATTATTATCTTTGACTAAAATTTACTATAAAACTCCTTACTTGATATAACAATCGTATCAAAATTACTTTTGTTATCACATTTAATACTATTTTTTTTTTCGTGTGAACCATTATGTCAAGTGTGTCCATAAATAAGGGCGGCACTTTAGCAACAATGCGATAACGTTTGCTACCCAAAAAATAGAGTAACATGTATAATT